CATGCTGTAACTGATAACCTCCATGCTGCAACTAATTACTTCCATGCTGCAACCAATTGCCTACTTGTATACAACTGATTATCCCCTGCTGCAACAAATTGCCTCCATGTTGCAACTGATTACCTCCATGCTGCAACCAATTGCCTACTTGTATGCAACTGATTGCCTCAATGCTGCAACTGATTGCCTACATGTATGCAACTGATTACCTCCATGCTGCAACTGATTTCCTCCATGCTGCAACTGATTACCTCTATGTTGCAACTGATTGCCTACATGTATGCAACTGATTACCCCATGCTACAACTGACTACCTCAATGCTACAACTGATTGCCTCCGTGCTGAAACCAATTACCAACTTGTATGAAACTGATTAACCCCATGCTGCAACTAATTACCTCCATCCTGCAACTGATAACCTCCATGCTGCAACTGATTACTTCCATGCTGCAACCAATTGCCTATTTGCATGCAACTGATTACCTCCATGCTGTAACTGATAACCTCCATGCTGCAACTAATTACTTCCATGCTGCAACCAATTGCCTATTTGCATGCAACTGATTACCTCCATGCTGTAACTGATAACCTCCATGCTGCAACTAATTACTTCCATGCTGCAACCAATTGCCTACTTGTATGCAACTGATTATCTCCATGCTGCAACTGATTACTTCCATGCTGCAACCAATTGCCTATTTGCATGCAACTGATTACCTCCATGCTGTAACTGATAACCTCCATGCTGCAACTAATTACTTCCATGCTGCAACCAATTGCCTACTTGTATGCAACTGATTACCTCCATGCTGCAACTGATTACTTCCATGCTGCAACCAATTGCCTATTTGCATGCAACTGATTACCTCCATGCTGTAACTGATAACCTCCATGCTGCAACTAATTACTTCCATGCTGCAACCAATTGCCTACTTGTATGCAACTGATTATCTCCATGCTGCAACTGACTACCTCAATGCTGCAACTGATTGCCTCCGTGCTGCAACCAATTGCCTACTTGTATGAAACTGATTAACCCCATGCTGCAACCAATTACCTACTTGTATGCAACTGATTACCTCCATGCTGCAACTGATTGCCTACTTGTATGCAACCGATTAACTCCATGCTGCAGCTGATTACCTCAATGCTGCAACTGATTGCCTCCGTGCTGAAACCAATTACCAACTTGTATGAAACTGATTAACCCCATGCTGCAACTAATTACCTCCATCCTGCAACTGATAACCTCCATGCTGCAACTGATTACTTCCATGCTGCAACCAATTGCCTATTTGCATGCAACTGATTACCTCCATGCTGTAACTGATAACCTCAATGCTGCAACTGATTGCCTCCGTGCTGCAACCAATTGCCTACTTGTATGAAACTGATTAACCCCATGCTGCAACCAATTACCTACTTGTATGCAACTGATTACCTCCATGCTGCAACTGATTGCCTACTTGTATGCAACCGATTAACTCCATGCTGCAGCTGATTACCTCAATGCTGCAACTGATTGCCTCCGTGCTGAAACCAATTACCAACTTGTATGCAACTGATTACTTCCATGCTGCAACCAATTGCCTATTTGCATGCAACTGATTACCTCCATGCTGTAACTGATAACCTCCATGCTGCAACTGATTACCTCCATGCTGTAACTGATTACCTCCATGCTGCAACCAATTGCCTACTTGTATACAACTGATTATCTCCATGCTGCAACCAATTGCCTACTTGTATGCAACTGATTATCTCCATGCTGCAACTGACTACCTCAATGCTGCAACTGATTGCCTCCGTGCTGCAACCAATTGCCTACTTGTATGAAACTGATTGCCTCCATACTGCAACTGATTACTTCCATGCTGCAACCAATTGCCTACTTGTATGCAACTGATTACCTCCATGCTGCAACTGATTGCCT